GTGGCCGAGGCTGTTAGCGGGGCCCTGCCTCCTGGCTGGCACCAGCCCATGCCACAGCCAGGGAGGGGGCACAGCAGTCCCCTCACCGACCCCCCGTGCCCCTCGAGCTGTTGCTCCCTCTCTGTGCCCGGCTGGCCACAGGGACAGCTGCCTGCTGGGTCTTGCCGGGCCACTCACCTGACTCTGGATCTGGCAGCGAGAGAGGCCACGACACAAAGCTGGATGGCAGGGCAGCCTGCGACAGCCACGGGCACTGGCAGCAAGCGGATGAAAGGGCAGAGGAGCTGGACCTTGAGTGAAATTCAGCCCCAAAATCAACGATGTGCTTGCTGCACCCAGCACTGTGCCTGCTCAGGGGTCCCTCCCCGCTGTGCTCTCACCTATCCGCCGCTTTTCTGCCTCCACAGCACAGAAGGACGTCGGAAACCTCCATCTCACCCCCTGGTTCCAGCATCGGCTCCCCGAACCGTGTCATCTGCGTAAGTACAGCTCTGCCGCTCGTCTGCGTGAGGCAGGACAGATGCTCTGGCTGGAGGGAAGGGGGTAACAGCTCCCAGTGCCACTCTGCAGCGTGAAGCGTCCCCTGAGGATGAGCCCAGCGTTTGGGGACAGGACAGACAAGTCGTGCCGGCACTGTTGGCATAGAGCGGGAGCACTGGGAGGGGCACAGTCCCACCCTCCCAGCTCCTCTGCCCCTTCCCGCTGCTGCCTCTTGGGCATGTTCTCTTACCTCTTCCCGCTGCTGGGGTGACGGTGGGCTCTGCCTGCTCTGTGCTGGCTCTGCACTGTGCGTTCCAGCCTCCCCTCCCCTCTCTCCTCCTCTTCCTTTCCGTCTCTCTGTCTCTGTCTCTCCCTCTCCCTAGGCTAAAGTGGATAATGAGATCCTTAATTACAAAGACCTGGCAGCTCTTCCCAAGATTAAAGCCATCTATGAAGTGCAGCGTCCTGACCTCATTTCCTACGAGCCCTATCACAGATACACATCGGATGAGACGCTGGAAAGATATAGCTATGGGGAGGTACTGAGTCTCGATGTGCCCAATGCTGGGCTGCGCAGGGAGCTGGGCCCCGATTCAGGGCGATGAGGGAAACTGCCTGTGGGTTCGCTCTCTCCAGTGGGAATACTGCAGGGAGGCAGGAGCGGGGGTAAGACCTTACCCGGAGACTCCCCATCACTGGGAAGAGGGCCTGGGCTGGAAGGGAAATCTTGGCGCTGCTGCTTTGGAGTAAGAAAGAAACCAATGACCTTATCAGCTGATGGCAGCACCCGCCCCACACTGTGCCGCAGACCCGATGTGCAGGGACAGACGGCGCTGCGCGGGAGGTGACGTCACCCTCGGGAGTGATGTGGCGGGGGAGCTCACCCATCGCAGCCCGCAGCAGGAGAGGAGGAGGGCATGCAGCACGCGTGCATCCCTCCGGGGTGGAGAGACAGATGGCCAGCAGGCTCAGCCCAAAGACTGGCCCCTGGCAGGCAATCCTCCTGGCCACCCAGCCCCAGCATGGTGTCTCTGGAGCACAGCAGGGCTGCCTCTGTTGGGTGCTGGCTCCGCAGCCAGAGGAAGGGGGCTTGGTCAGTGCGTTTTTGCAAGCGTGTTACAAGATGATGCCAAAGCAGCACGTGGCACAGGACTGCCCTGCCCCGCTCCCCTGGGCAGGGTGGGGCTGTTGGACGATTTCAGTAAGTCTGTGGAAGAAGAGGTCTGAGCAGCTCACACAGAGATGGGAAACCTGAGGTGGTCCTGGAAGAGGACTTTGTAATGGCCAGCAGCAGCTCCCGTACATCTCCAGTCTCAGGGCTTCTCACAAGCCTGCTTTTCTCCAGCCCACCCGGTGATGGTGCAGGCAGCATGGTCATGGCCCGCTGTGGAGCACTGCAGGGCTGGCAGCCGCCTTCCCCCCTTGCAGCCGCTCCACTGAGGTCTCCAAGAAGGGGCACAGGCTGCCGATTCAGGAGGTGCCATCCTCATGCCAGCTCCCCTCCCAGCCAGGGACTCCCTGCCCGGCTGTGCCACCAGCCGCCCTCGCTGCCTGGCAGCTGTGATGAGGCTGTAACGTGGGGAAAACCAGCTGCTGTGGGACCTCAGTCTGTCACTGCTCCCCTTAACTGTGTGCTGTCTCTCTCTCTCTCTCCCCGCTTTGCCTCCTGCTGCCTCCAGTCCCTGGGGACCCTCTCCCCGTACTCACAGGTAACGCCCCAGTGGGCACCGAGGGGTCCGTCACCTGCTGCCACTGCAGGGTGTCCCTCTGCCCAAGGACTGCTGGGACTCTGCTGAACGCCCTCTGCCTGGGTGCTGCCCTGAGGGGGGGGGAGACAGGGGGATCCCATCCGGGAGGGTCCTGTCCTTCGGGTCCCAGGGAGAGTGGCGTGCAGCCCTCCCTGGCAGAGCAGACCCAGGGTGCAGCTTCTGCCCCATGGAGGGGAACACTGGTAATCGGGAACAAGCTCAGGGGAAAGGGAGGATCTCCAGGCAAGGGGGTGAAAGCCTCTGGCTGGACACCGTTGCCTGGTCCCAAACCCTGGGCTTCGCTGCCTGTGCTTCAGTGGCAGGGGGGCAGAGCAGCCTGGGGACCCCCCAGCCACAGAGGACACGCACACTGCCCCAGCATGTCACACCGAGGAGCGTGAGCCCTCCTGGGCTGCCACAAGCATGGGGACCCCCATCTGTGGGACGTCCCCGCAGGGCTGGCAAGGCACTGACCTGCCTCGTCCCTCATCCCGCCAGCTCTAACACCGCTTCTCTCCGCACCTTTCCTGCTCCCCAGGACATCTACGAGAGCTTTGACACACGACAGAGGCGAGCCTCCAGCCCTGGCTACATTGACTCCCCCACCTACAGCCGCCAGGGCATGTCCCCCACCATCCCGAGGTCCCCCCACCATTTCTACCGCTCAGGTGAGAATTTCAGCTGCAACCCCAGGCTGGGCTGAGCTCAGACCCCCAAGTGGAGCAGGGATCACCAAACTGTCCCCTGCTTCTCCCCAGGGGACCTCAGTGGTCCCTCCTCTGACAAGCAGGCAGGAGGCCTGGGGGGGTCCATGGGGGGCTGAGGGCAACAGGAGCTGTGGGGCAGTGACCAACTCTGCTGTGTGCATCCTCTGGTTCCCCTGACTCTTGTCTTGCGAGCAGCGAGGAGAGACCGAGGGGGCTTTGTCCTGGCTCAGACCTAAGCTGGGGCTCATGGAGGATGGGGTGGGGTGAGAGGTGGCCCCCAGGTCCAGTGAGGACCCCTCAGCTGGCTTGGTAGCTCTGGGAGGGGCGTGCACGAGAGTGCTTGTGCTCAGGCAGTGCTGCAGTGGGGGTCCTTACGCACACACATGCGTGCACGCCCTGGAGCGTGTCGGGGGTAAGCAGAGTGTGTCTGTGCCATGCCTCCTGTCCTTCGGAGCCAGGGAGGAACGACTGGGAAAATCCGAGGTCAGTAATTCCGGAGGTCTCACGTTCCCCGAGCTACCCGCACGCTGCACCGCCAAGGGCCTGTCACCGTTTGCCTCTGCAGCACGCTCGGCTTTCCTCTCACCAGCGGCAGGGCAACCTGCTGCCCTGTAAAGCACCCGCACACGGGGTTTCCTCTGCATCCCGCCTTCCTCCGGAGATGCGGGAAATCTTCCCCTGCTCCATCACACCCCATCCTGAACCACGGCCTGGCGCACGTCCTCGTCACCCCCCCACATGGGTCGCCCCCCGCTCTTCTAACACCGCTGCATTTAACACCCGTTTTCTTCTGCCTCTTGTTCTCTCTCTCGGTCACTTATGGCTGCTTCTGCTCGGCACCGCGTAGGCACCGAGAGCGGGCGCAGCTCCCCCTACTATAGCCAGTTAGATGTGAGGTCCTCCACTCCAACCTCATACCAGGCGCCCAAGCATTTCCACATCCCAGGTAGGCTCTGGAGCACCCCGGTTCCTGGGGAAGCGCCGTGTCTGTGGCATGCCCGCATGTGCCGTCCCCCCTGTCGCATGCGTAGCTCCACCACCTGCCTAGAGCCAGCTGGCAGCAGGATCTACCCCTGGTAGAGGCCATCCATAAACAAAACCTGCAGCTTG